TGCTTTTTTTCCCTCTTAAAAATAAAGTTTGCTTAGGGGCAGCTAGGTGGTGCAGTGGATAGAGTACTGGCCCTGAAGTCAGAAGGACCTGAGTTCAAATACAGCCTCAGACCAAACACTTGACACTTAGTAGCTGTGTGACCCTGGGCAAGTCACTTAACCCCAATTGCGTAAAAAAAAAATCAAGCCTGTTTTACATGCAAATATTGTTTATATTATACATAAACATTGTCCCAATTAGTCAATATTTGAGTGAAAGGAGTGTCCTAAACAATGATAGACAAGTTAAGGATTTGAAGTTTTCAAAAATGAGACAGACTTTTGGCTAACTATGCCCCAAGTCTTTCCTTCACTTGCTAAACAAATCTTTTCCATCCTTAGCATTGACTTGTCTTCCACAGAGACTAAGGAGCCTTCCTCTAAGTATCACTAAAGCTAACAGTATATACCTTCCAAAATATTAACATATTGCCTCATCCTTTGTCTTCACTATCATATAGTCTATGACCCAAAACTGATGAAAACTAAACAAATCAATTACGTAGATACTTCCTCCTACTTAGATGTTTAACAATGTGAAGGTAAAAGCAAAGAAATTATAAACTTCTTGAAAAAATTTTTAATTCATATATGTGGACTTTTTAAGCATTTACCCATTTCACTCATTTGGCACCTTACATGTGCCGGCCGCGCGGTGCACTCTCCTCCTATAAGGAGCAGGCTGCCAGAGTCATACTTACCAGTCTTCGGTGCCCACCCAGATAAACACACAGAGATGAGCCGATCAGGAGGTGCCAACACTGGAGCTTTATTCAGAGGCCATCACAGCAAGGCCAAGCAGGAAGGCCAGAGCAAGAGAGCAGGAGCAAAAGAGAGCTCCGATCTCTACTGTTCCTTAAGTACCTACTTAGCCCCTCCTCCTCCTCCTCAGCCCGCCTACTAGTCATTGATTGTAGGATCAGATACCAGAAGGGGATGTCTGGGTTTAGCGCACCAAGGGAGAGGAAGTGACGCAGGAGGCTAGGGCCGGATATAGGAAGGAGACGTCTGGGATTAGTGCATAGACAAAGGGAGAGTACGTGACCCAGGAAGTCAGGCCCAGATACCGGGAGGAGGCATCTGGGGTCAGTGCTACACAAAGGGAAAGTACATGACCCAGGAAGTCAGGAAGGAGACGTCTGGGGTTAACGTTGCACCTAGGGAAGAGGACTAGACAAAGGAACTCGTTCTCTGCCGTCCCACTCCCACGTGGCACAGCCCCCTGCCTCAGGAGCATGTGCTCCGGCTACTTCCTTGTATCCTGTTCCTTCCCCAGCTTATCACAGCTCCACATAGCACTGCCCACTGCCTCAGGAGCGTGAGCTCCGGTTACTTCTCTGTATCCAGTTCCCATCCCAGTTCACCACAACTCTGCCTAGCATAGCCCCTGCCTCGGGAGCGTGAGCTCCAGTTACTTTCAAATATCTTGTTCCTACCCCATCTTGCCACAACCCGCACTTGGCAGTAGCCAACACCAGACAATCCCTCACACTTACATCTGTCTCACATTCTTATATTATTATTTAATATTTCAGGTTTATGTGTTGTTTTACCACTAAGCTTTCAAAACAAGAACCATTTATTCTACTTCTTTTTTATTTCCCATATTGCCTACACAAAACAGGAACCATTTATTGTACTTGTTATCTCCCATATTGTCTACACATTTAATGTTAGGTGTTCAATAAACAGTTATTGAATGAAGATTTAGATAGCCTTTATGGATTTTCTTTCTTCTAAAAATGCAAATCTGAGTTGTATCATAATGTCAAATGAGAATTCTGTACTGATATTTAAGAGCTCAACACAAGAATGGCAAAAGTTCCCTCTGTGGTTCTGATCATATTTTGACATCTTGGATCCACGTCTACTTATCTATAATTTTCTTATTCTCAAGAAACAAAAACTCGTTAAGGAATAGCAACAGAAAAAAGCACCCAAAGAAAAGTGTTTACAAGTGTAATCATTTCAGATTAATAAAGTATGGAGTTTATTTAGCCTCATACCTGAGGCTATCACTGATGTAAAGGAAAAAACTTGAGGAACAACACGAACATAATTCTCATGATTACAGCTACCAGATTATAACCGATCACAGAAATAATGTTCCATTTTTTTATGCTATACAAAATGCAAAAACAGTAACAACTAGAAAACACACTGTGTGAAGCACCTGAAAATTGAAATGGAAATGAGCCTGAATATATTAGGTCTATGCACTCTGAACACACACTACACTGCTTTAAATTCCCTCTTTTAAATTTAGACCCTATACCGGGCCTGCACAACCTGCAGCTGTCTAAAAGATTTCAGGTGGCCCATGAAAAATGTAGAGGAAAATATCCTCTACATTTTTCATGGGCCACCAAAATCCTTTGGTATGCCTGAGGGCCGCAGGTTGTGCAGGCCTGCCTTACACAGACATAACTGCACATACTTTTTAAGAACAGGGAAAGATCACAAGCAATTTTCCTTTTCAATTAAGTATACATAACTGTACTCATTCCCCGAGAAAATAGTGGGATGTCTCAAGGTTCAATTTGATACTAAAAGTCAGAAATTTTTGCAATTTTATTCATGTTTTTACATTTCAAATTAGATCAACTAAGTTATTCAGCTTAAGCTACAAACAACCTCACAATTATATAGACTCCAGATGCTCTTCAAATAGCACTATTCTTATTATATGCTAAAAATTGCTTACTTCCTTTTGAAACAGGGGACTGAGAATAGTTAAATAATTCACAGTTGATCATTGTTGAATATTGTTATCACTGTGTACAATGTTCTCTTCATTCTGTTTATTTCACTTTGCATCAGTTCCTGAAAGTCTTTCCAGGATTTTCTGACAGCATCCTGCTCATCATTTCTTACAGTACAATAATATTCCATTAAAATCATACACCAAAACTTGTTCAGCCATTCCCCAATTGATGGGCGTCACCTCAGTTTCCAATTCTTTGCCACCACTTAAAAAGAGCTGTTATAAATATTTTGTACAAGTAGGTCCTTTCCCATTTTTTGGATCTCTTTGGGATACAGACCTAGAAGTGGTATTGCTAAGTCAAAGGGTATGTATGCACAGTTTTTGTAGCCCTGAGAGCATAGTTCCAAATTGTTCTCCATAATGGTTGGCTCAGTTCACAACTCCATCCACAGGGCATTGATGTCCCAATTTTCCCACGTCCCCTCCAATAATTATCATTGTCTTTTTCTTTCATATCAGCCAATCTGATAGGTGTGAGGTGGTACCTCAGAGTTGTTTTAATTTGCATCTCTCTAAACAATAGTGATTTAGAGCATTTAAAAATATGGCTATAAATAGCTTTGATTTCTTCATCTGAAAACTGCCTGTTCATATCCTTTGACCATTTATCAATTGGGAAATGACAAATATTCTTATAAATTTGACTCAGTTTTCTATGTATTAGAAACAGCATGTTTTGGCTAATTAAAAATTTCGAGTTTCTAAGAATGAGACTATTGAGCATTTGATTTGGAGTCAGAGGACCTAGTTGTTCAAATCTTGCTTTTGTTGCCTACTACCTATGTGACCCTTTTTGTTGTTATCGAGTCATTACAATCTCTTCTTGGCCCCATTTGGGGTTTTCTTGGCAAAGTAGTTTGCCATTTCCTTCTCCAGCTCATTTTAAAGATGAGGAAACTGAGGCAAAGAGGGTTAAGTGACTTGCCCAAGGTCACACAACTAGTAAACGTCTGAGGCCAGATTTGAACTCAGGTCTTCCTGATTCCAGGCCCAATGCTCAATACACTATGACAACTAGCTGCCCCTATGTGACCTTAGGGTCACTTAATCTCCCTGAGCCTCAGTTTCCTCATCTGTAAAATGAATGATTTGGACTAGAAGACGTCTAAAGTTCCTTCAAACTTTAAAATCTCAGATCTATGATCATATTCAAGACTAAAAATAAATCACTGGCACAACAAAGAGCAATGTATTTGAAGTCAGATGACCTAACCTTGACTATGGAGCTTTACTACTTGCTACCTGTGTGGCTTTGAGCAAATCAAATCCTCTCTCTTGTTTCTTAGTTTTGTCATCTGCTACATCTGTAAAATAAGTGGGGTGGGGGCCTGGATGATATCAAAGCCTCCTTCCATTTCTGAATTCCTGTGACCCTCTCCAGAACACAAATTTCCTTCTTCCTAAAATATTAAAGCCAACAGATAATGAAAACGTATTCCAAATATAAAGAATACATACAGTAAGATGAGTTTTAAGGACATGACTTAAAAATTTAATGGAGAAAAAAAAGGCATTTAAGACACAATGGAAAAATGTGCTAGAATAGAACATCCAAGAATGTTAGCATAGCGATTGTTTAAGCAAATAGGCAGCACAGCAAAATGTACAGAGAGGTGTCAAGCCCTCCTGGCTGTCTGACCCTGGGCAAGTCCCTTAGAGAACTGCCTCGGGGCATCGACAGCTGAAGCTGCAGCCAACCTATGCTAGTTAGTGGAGGTAGCTTCTTCACTGGGGAACTCCCTACACTATGAAATCAGTAGCCCAGTCCAATAAACTATGTTTGTAGGAAAATAAAATAATCTTTAAAAAATAGCACTAAACAGCAACAGAAGAGTCTGTTTAATTTGTTTTTAATATCTCTAATAAATATTTCTAATCCTTCCATAAAAGTACATTACAGTTCTACAATTTATTGCAAACAGATTTCTTATCTGTTGATATTCAAACTATAACACTTACTATTTAATTATTGGCACTATTTACTCTACAGCACAATGGAGAATGCTTTTTTGAATAAAGAAAGAATAGCAATTCAGTGGGGAAAATGTCAAACAAAAGGTCCTTTTCCCAAGACAATTACATATCCATACCAACAATTACATTAAAAATGCTAATTTCTGAACAGGCACAGGATTAAAAAGTCATGATGAAAGTTAGCCAGGTTTTGTTCAGAAATGTGATACATACTGCACAGTTTATTTATTTATTTATTTTAGCAAATCCTAGTTTGCCAAGCTTCAGAAGGCAAAAGCCTAAAAGTATAAGTTTCAGAGTTGTCCAACTAGTTAGTCTTCTTGCCCAGAAGAATCTGATGACTGGTACTACTTTGCAAGAGAGCACACTGTCACCAATGTTTTTGTTGTTAATTAATCCATCAAAACAGCAACATTCACGTCCTTAAGATGCAAGGCCTAGCAAGAAGCCTCCCACAAATCCGCTGGATACCACTATGTTCTGTTTGATAAATTCTGTTGACTAAAAAAAAAAAAATCCTTTTATTAATTGCATACTATTAAAACATAAAATTACTTGACATTTCTTAGCCTCATTCAATTTCAATGAAAATGAGCTCTCACTGAACTTTGATATTAGAGAAATGAGAGACATAGGTATCTACAAAAGTACAAGACCTTTATGTTTTCACTTAAAAAATGCAGGACCTTTAGTTTACTTCGAGGAACCACGGGCACCATGGTAACTATGGACAGTACCTTGAATATAGTGAGTAAGATTGTGCTAAGAGGCCATTTGTTAACCATCAACTCTAACTTCAAAGATCTGTGGTTTAATCAGCATGGGTATTGTCTTCACTGATACAGATAACAACCCTTCAAATAATTTAGAGCATGGTCTTTAATATTTACTGTGCCTCTAAAATTCAGCACCATGACACAAACCTGGTGATGAAACTCTTCAAATTAGCTGATTCAGCCCACTAAAGTCCTACTCCAATATTAACTATTAAATAAATTCCCACATTGTGCACACTTCCATTCTATTGGGAATAAAGAAGAAACATGTATGATGAAAAAGCTTTAAATAGGCAACTATTAAGTGCTCAAATACACTTATGAATATTAGTAAAATGAATTTAAATCTTTCAGGCTCATTTTGTGTTGACTCCAACTAAGTAAGATAAGATACTGAGCTGGGGACACAGTGACAAAATTTTTAGTACCATTGCTTCTGGAAAGGATGTTGACTGATTGACTAGATCAAATTGACATCCTTAACATCCCCCTTACCAAAATGTCTCCCTGACCACTATTCTTCTACATTTTCTGTCTCCATCTAATAAAATGTAAGCTCCTTGAGGGCAAGTCCTATTATACTTTCTTGTATTTGTATTTTACTTAAAAAACTCCCTCATATACAAGAATATTTTATCTTACCTCTTCAATGATGGTATTGATTTCAGGTGCAGCTTTATTTGCTCTTTTTTTAATCTGTCTTTTTGCTTTGTTTACATCTTTTTCAACTCTCTTCCAGTCAACTTGCACATAGCCACTGTGACTGGCAATCTAGGAAAATTTAACAAAATGATAAAACGGTATTAGACCAGTCAATCTGCTAAGCCATTCATTAAAGTTCCACTGTTGCTGAAATTATTACATTAGGTTATTAAATAGGGCTACTTATGGTGTTCATGTATAGGAAGCCTTTGCTATATATAATATAAACATTCTAAAGTAATTCCTAAGTTACTTCCTTTGGAGAAGAGAGCTAAACATTGTGAAAATACAGACACTTGAATATACAATTACTTATCCTAAGGGAAAAAACAAAGAGTTAATCTTTCCTTACTGCCATAAAAGTCCATTTTAAACTAACTTACTTCTGAAGGTAGAATGTAAAAATGTGGCAAAATTATGCTCTACCTGGTTTTTCATTGCATAAATCCTTTAAGTACAATTATAAATAAATGCTTATTACACACAAAAAAAGAAAGAATGTAACATGGTAGAACTGAAGTACCATTATATTTGGCACTAGAAAATATTTGCTTATAAACAGGAACACTTTAGAATACTCAAACAACAAAATCAAGGATAAGAATCAAACAAGCAGTAAATAACCAAGCCACATCATCTATTAAGAACCTCTTCTTAGAGTACATTCGATGTAAATCAATCTTTGGGCTTTTCAGATAATGAAAATATCTGATGTCATACACAAAGGATGATTCTGAATCCTGGACATTCTTCTATCAATGTCACCCTCTGAACAATGTATTTATCTACAATTCTTCTTTACATTCTTTTACTACATCTCTAAAACCAATGTAAGAAATATATACTGTGTAGATCAAGTAGAAGGTCAAATCTTTTTTTGGCAGAAACGTTTAGATAGCCAGCACGAAGTTGATAAAGTTCAGTGTTTAGGAACTTGTCCAATCCATGAACTCAAAAGATCTGCTACTTAACTCAAGTCAGGTTTTGCAAGATATCTATTTCCTACCGCATTTACTTACCAGTTTCTGATCATGCAGAGCCTATGAGGGGGGCATATCTCTTTGGTGTATGTATATGGCTATAATTCTTACTTACAGGGAATCAAAATGTTTCCTATGCCAGTTTTCTTCCTGCCAACTTCACTAAAGTATAATTGTTAAAAATACTTTAAATTGAAAATTTAGCAGCTCACAAAATATTTATCATTTGCTAGAAATGTATAAGGAGCTATAATTATACTAACAGTAGCTGACATTTATATACTAGAATTTACAAAGTACTTTAAGATACAAATGAAATACACTAACATTTAAGCCTCACAATAACTCTGTAAGGTAGATACTATAGGTATAATCTTCATTTTTTTAAACAAATTAAGAAACTGAAGCTTAGAGAGATTGAGTAACTTGCCCATGACCACATCACTTGTGTCTGAGGAAGAATCTGAACCTAGACCTTTCTCCTGAATTATCACATTTTCATTTTTCATTACCTCCTGTGTATGTGTATATGTGTAAAACAAGAAAGTTATCCATTATATTGTTTCAGATACACAAAGAAACACAGTCAACATATAACTATAAAGACTGGTTCTCCAAGTCACACAGCACATTACTTTGTAGTCATAATTTTTATATATTTCATTTGTATGTACATATATTTTACATATAAAATATATATGTAGCCATTTATGCAGCTAGTTCTCCCATTTGATAGCTATTCCAATTCAGATATGGAAAATGATGTTAACAAAGACCTACATTATTGGGAATATAGTAAAGTCACTAACTAAAATATTAATTCTCATTTAATCATGATATCTTAACATAGTAGTCTAACAGCAAAATGAGTATGATAGGATAACATTTCACTAAACCTACCCTTAAGGGATGGTCTGGTCAAATCCTAGGTATATATGTCCTAACAGAGAAAGACATGATCTAGTTTCAAAATATCTTAACAGTAGCTAACTCGGCTTCAAATCACACCCAATATAGAAAATACAAAGAAGGATAAGCCAATTACTGGTTCAGGTCTGACCATGATCAATTTGCATAACATATCATATTGTATATGTGCCCCAATTCATGCTAGTAACTACAATGTATATAAAATTTTTCCAAATTAGATCAAGTATCAAGATGGGAAAAAAAAACTGGTCTGGCTTCTAGTGAGGTAAGGAAACTGCATATTTAGTCATAATAAATAACTGGTAAACATCTGCCATGTAATTTTTGAATGAATAGCTAAAAAGCAATGTAGATTAGAAGCTATTTTTCATTAACATAGTCTATGGCTCAAGTGATCTGAAAAATCTTTAGCTTTCAGACCCTTAATTATCTTGAAGCAGCTAGTGCCTCAATGCTCTGAATACTTCCGTACTAGGATGAATGAATGAAAAAGTATTTATTAAGAACTTACTATGTACTAAGCACCAAGGTCTTATGAACCGGCATGTATGAATATATTAGTAAGGTCCAGAGATTTCAGTAAGAAACCAGAGTCACATCTATCTTAAGTTAAACAGGGCTGAATAATATACAGATTACATGTACATACTCATTCAAAAAGGGTATGAAGGATATGTGTGACCTCCCCTTCACTACTATATTGGGCCATCATGTTGACTTGATCTGGAGAAGTGAAGTTGTATATGGAAACTGATGAATCCCAGGAAACCAGCTGAACTTAGGCAATCAACTGATGCTAGAGGACCTGTCAAAATGAAGGGGCTAAAGGGTTTTATATTGAGAGAAAAAGGGACCTGGATACTCCAATTTAAGGTAAGAAACTCCTTACTACCTTTGAACACTGTAATTATGAAAAGGTTCCATATTTCTCTGCTTCATTTAGTAACACTAGGTGGACTAGATGATCTTTAAGGTTTCTTCCAGATCTAAATGTATATTATACATATATCTGAATGAATCTAAACATGTGTAAGAGCCAAAAAAGTGGGTGACCAGGGCAACCCCAGGTTACAAAGGATTATCAGTGACAGGACAAAGAGACAAGGAATTCATTGATAGTGTGTGGCTAACTGGTCGGACATATGGTAATGTAAAGAAGTGAAGTGAAAACAAGGATTATTAAAAACTTAAGTCAAATAAGGCTAAACTTAGGGGTCGGCATAATTCCTTTGTGTGGATATTCATTGCCGCATTCGAGCCATCTTTGCCTCATATCACTTTCATAGTCTTCCTTGATCTTAGTGCCTTCCCTTGGGAGAAACTCTTGAGGGTCTTCCTCTCCCAGACTGATTCTTTTGTGAAGGCAAACTAGGCCATCTTCTGTCTCAATTCTTACCAAACCTTTAATCACTGAATGGGTGTTGCCTCAGACAAACTGAGACCTGGGAAAGTCAAGTCTTTAGCTTAAAAAGGCAACATCTCCCACTGCATCTGGGGCCATTGCCAGATGTCTTGACTTAGGTCTTGCCACTGAAACCTAATGACTCTGGAAGAGTGAAGCTGATGACTTTGCACAGCTGTGCCTCACTTAAATCCAGTTCACTTGCAAGTCAAGATATCACCCTCCCGATGTCATTGGTCATCTTCTGAGAACAAAGGATGAACAACAACCTTCCCTCTGAGATTATCTCCAACTTCTCTTGTGCAGGTCTTGTTCACACACAGTTGTGTATATCTTATCTCCTCCATTATACTATGACCTCCTTAAAAGGAGGGATTTTTTTTTTGCCTTTTTTTGTATCACCAGCACTGAGCATAGTGCTTGGGACATAGCTGATGCTTAATAAATGCTTGTTGACTTGTACTTGATCTTCAGTGAATGGTTTGTATGCAAATATATGAAACAGATATGGCTGTCAGTGTATTGATAGATATCTTCTAAAAGATCTTTATAACTGTTTTGAAAAGGAAATGAATAAACCTCATTTTTCATTCCACTAAATGCTTAAATTCTCCCACCTGCTGGACTTGAGGAATGGCTACATAAAACTAACAACAAAATTTTGTAATCACTTACCTGCAGGAGAAGAAAGCCACCGCCCACTGCAGTTGCTGCAAGTTTTCCAACTTTCTGGAATAAAAATCCCGCACACCTTAAATTAAAAAAAAAAAAGTAGAGGGAAGGGAAAGATTAGTAAAATTCTAAAATAGTTCTCTAGCTTTCCTGGGGAAAATGTTCATTTTATTTGACTACAGAAAGATAGCTTTCCTTTCTGTATTACTGGGTGCCTAAATGGATTGTCCCTAAGTACACAATAAAAATCCTAACTCCTTATCCTGGGAAACAAGATACTGTACATGGCAATCCATCCTATCCGTAATCCAATCTTAGATCTCTATTAGGCAAAAGGCAGACTGGGCTCTTCTCATTGTTTATGGGACATGTCACTTTTACACCTAACTCTGTTCATACTATTGTGACCCCTTCCTTAGGTTGCTTTCTATCTTTCTTATCTCCCCATCTAAAGATCCTTAAAGAAGGGCCAGGTCAGCCAAGCGCTACCTCCTCCAAGAAAATCTCCAAATTTACTTAAGCCCGCAGAGATCTCTGGCTTTTCTGCAATACTACTGAACTTAATCTCTGTAGGACATCATAGCACTTAAACAAGATCAGGCAGCATGACCAATGCCTTCACACACAAATCCTATCTATCATAACCTACGATTATAAAATCTTTCCATTATTTTTCTTAAATATATTCTTTTCTCTCATTACGACCTCTAATCTCTCCACTCCTCAGTGCCTTCCCCTGCTCCTACTTCATCTTCCTCCCTTCTTAGTCTCAATCCTTTAACTAGCTAATTTAACTCTACACTCTTGAATCCCTTGCTTTATCATCATAATTTGACTGGATTAATCCCACCATCTACTTTTTTCAATTCTACTCACATGCCACTTGTTCAGTAGATCTGGAGAAAATGATGCAATCATGTTGATTGGGTCAAATTTATCTAATGCCAACTGGGCTCTCATTACAGCATGGATCAATCCTTTTATTCCATCCTATTCTCTATCTCACTCTCCATAGCAGATATTGTAAAGCTCCTCTTCTCTGCTAAAAACTTCTATTATCAACCCTCTTACAATACCTTGATATTACTTTCCCATTCTCTCTTCCTTTATTCAGGTCTTTAATGGAGAAGTGAACCTTCTCCATGTCAGTACCAGCCATTCTACAAGTAATCTTGTGTATCTACATAAGACTGCCTCTACTATCACCTCTTCCCTCTAATGTTCAATCTTTCTCAATTTATCCTTCCCTGCGATTTATAAACTCACTCAAATCTCACTCATTCTTACAATTCCTCACTAGATCATACCTATCCCTGCAAGCTGTTATCTCATATCGCTTTATCAACTAAATTTGAAAAAAAAAAAAGTGTACACTCATTGCCTTTACTTTCTTCTCTTCTCAATCTCTCCTAAACCTTCTATAATGGGTTGATGACTTCATCATTCAACTGAAACTGCTCACTCCAAATGATCTCCTAATTGACAGGCCTTTCCCAAACCACGCATCCTTCTTGACCTCTCTGCACCATCTGACACTAAGATATATTCCTTCATCTCTATGTTATCTCTTGGTCCTCTTTCTACCTGTAGGACTACTTTTTTTCAGTTTCCTTTGGTGGATTATCATCCACAACATGCTCCCTAACTGTAGGTATACTCCAAAGAAGTCTTCTAGTCTTTCCTTTCTTTTCTTTCTATAATCTATCTAAAAATGATGACCACATCTATTCACATGGGTTTGTCGTCTCTACGTGAATGCCTCCAGATCACTATTTCTAACTCAAGTCCCACATGGCCAACTGCCTATTGAACAACTCAATAGGTCAAACTCAATATGTCCAAAACTGACCTCACCTTTCCAAGCCCAACTTTCTTCTAAACATTCTATTTTACTGAGATCACCATCATCCTTCCAGTTTGCAACCCTGGTGCCATCCTCAACTACTTATTTAATCAGTTGTCAAACCCTGTCATTATAACTTCCACAACATTTCTTGTATCCATTCCCCTTTTGTCTACTCACAGAACCACCACCACTGCTTAGGCCCACAACACCTTTCCTCTGGACTACTATAAAGGCTTACTAAGAGGTATCCCTGCTTCAGGTCTCTTTCCTCTGCAAACCATCCCGCATAACTACCAAACTGATCTTCCTAAAGCATAAATCTGACCATGTCATGTCTCTACTCAATATGCTCCAGCAGCAACTTCTTATCTTCAGGATCAAATACAGACTTCTGTTTGGTACTTGAAAACTGTCACAACATTAACTTTTCATATTATTGTATATTCCTGCCCTTAATAAATATATTTACTGTAAGTAAAACAAAATTAAATGAATATACATTTACTAAGTCAGCCAGTAAATATTCATTCATTCATTCATCGATTTTGCACTAGCTTACCTCCATCACTCAAAATCCCTGATTTTCTTCAGCTCAAGCACCATCTTCTGCAGAAAGCCAATCTTAACTCCCCCAGGTACAAGGACTTCAATCACCTTGCATCTATTTGGTATATGCCTTCACACAAAGCCATGTTATTTCCTCTTTATCCTCCCATTAGACTATAAGCTTCTTGAGGGAAGGAGCTATTTTCTCTTTTGTCTTTGAATCCCCCAGAGTCCAGCACAGTTCATGGCACATATTTCAGCACTCAATAAATGCTTGTTGATTGCTTGTGTCTCCAGTAACACAGTAAGTTTCTTAATGTCAGAAACCATATCTTATATTTCTTTAGTATCCTCAATAGCATCCCATATATACTTCTAGGTACACAAGAGATGATCAGTAAGTATTTTTAATGAAAAAAATTCATACCTCAGTTATACATGCTCCTTAAATTTTAGGATATTTATAGCAAGGTATCAATTTTTTGGACAGTAGTCTAACAGAAAAACAAAATGAACGAAGTATTTTGTATTTCTATCAGTTTAGTTTCATGTTTAGAAAAAAGTTTTGTCACCCCTTCCAACTACATGCTAATCTCACGTGCTAGTAATGTTTTGAGACATTAAAAAGTTAAGGTACACTAAAACTATAAAAAAGTTGATTTAATGTACAGTGAAACTATAAACATGAAAACAAATCAGCTTTATGATTTGAAAGGTTTTATGTAACAAGTACTTTAATATTCTAAATTGCATGAAAATGATTATAAAAATAAATGCGGCATAGTGAGAAAAAGTATGTGATTTGGAGTCAAGGGCAGATGGTTTCAAATCACAGCTCTTCTACTTATTTGTTGTGGGGCTATAGAGTTTATCTCCTGTGGTATTTCAGAAAACTTTTTCATTTTCTGGGCCTAACCTTTCTCAGGACACGTTGCTTCTGCTCTAGACACAACCTACTTCTCTTCTCTGGCATCCTTTTCAGAAACTGTCTATACATGCTACAATCCATGCTAGGAACTCTGACTTCCCATTAAACCTCACTAATTAGCTGTCTATATCATCAGAGGAGAATAAGACCCCATTCCTCCCTATAAAATACTTGGCCCTTTTCAGGATCTCCGACCCACCCTGCTGCATGGGAGTGACCAGGAGTTCAACCCATCCAAACTAGGAGCTACAGTAACAAGAGCTTGCTGTAATGATTGCCTAAGGGACAGCCTCTTGTATCACGGACGCTCTCCTTTAAAAGTGCCCTGTGAAGATTACCTTGCTCCCAAAGGCACTGACATCTCTAGCTAAAACTCTTTCAACTTTCCTCATTCTACCTGCCAACCCAGTTGGAGGGTGGATACCATATCACTTCATTTGTTGCCCTTCGTCCCCTCCTTACTTCTCAGCATTAAGTCACAAAGCTTTTCCTTAAATACCCCCAAATAAAGCCTATCGGACTAGCCTAATTCTTCTGTAAAGTCCCCTTAAGTCTCAAATAGAGGGGAATGAATTCTCTGAACCATCATCAAAGAGCCTGAGAGTTGGAAGGGGCCTTGGTAGTCCCTAGTCCAACCCATAAAAGAAAAGCAATCTCCACTATAATATACCTGACAAATGGCCTCTATTTGAAGATTTCCACAGGGGATGAACCTACCACTTCTTAAGACAGCCCACCCCATTTTGTATAGCTCTAATTATTAGAAAGTTTTTCCTGACCTCAAGCTTCAATTTGTCTTTTTTGTAACTTACACTTACAGCTTGTGGCTCTATCTTCTGGGGCCAAACAGAACAAATCAAGTCCCTCATCCAAATGACAGTTATTCAAACACCTTAAGGCAGCTATCACATCCCACCCCTTCCCTCCCCACAAAAAGACTGTTTTCTCTTCCACAGGCCAATCATCCCTAGCTCCTTCAAATGATCCTTATATTACATGATTTCAAGACACTTTACCGACCCTAATGTCCTCCTCTGGACACTTTCCAGACAGTCAATGTTCTTCTTAAACCATCCTGTCCACAACTGAAGACAAGCTGAGGTCTGATGAGGTCAGAGTACAGAGGCACTATCAGCACCCTACTCCTAAAAGCAATGCCCTACTTAATGCAGTTTAAAATTTTATTAGCTTTTTGGATTGCCACAAACTGCTGCTCACTCATATGGAACTGGAAGTCCACCAAAAACCCCCAATCTTTTTTTTCAGAACTGCTATCTAACCAGGCCTCCCTCATTCTATTTTTTGTAAGCAAGTTTAAGACTTTACATTTATCCCTAGTGAACTTCAATCTTACTAGAGTCAGTCCAATAATAGCCTGTCAATATTCTTTCTGTCACCCAGTATATTAACCAGCCTGGTGTCATATGCAAACGTGAGAAGCATATCATCTATGGCCTTTATCCAAGTCACTGAAAAAAATGTCAACAAGCAGAATCAAGCAAAAATCCTTGGAGCACTCCACTGGAGATATCCTGCTTTAGAGACACCAAATCATTAATAACTAGTTAGCCAGTTTCCTCATCTGTAGTATGGGAAAAACACTAGCACTACCTCTCTCACAGGGTTTTTGTAAAGAAAATAAGGTGTTTTATGTGTTGTTATTTTTACATACCAAGGGAACCTACATTTTAGTTAAAATATTTTAGGTAAAAAAATTTAATTAAATTTTTACATTGGGTGAACGTTATTTCTTTTTTTT